AACGCTCTTATCAAGCGCCCTCCCCATTCCTGAAGTGCACAGCCCTGGGGCTTGTCTTCCTGGCAGAGCTGGCACAGATCCTAATGCTCCTACAAGACGTCTTTGGTAGCAGAGCTTAGATTTAGGCTCGCTTTTGTTGATCCCGATGTCTTAAGCCAGTAAAGACTCCTGCTAGAGCTGAGCAGGGACTCTCTTTCTCTGTACCCGTGTCTCTTTGCCTGCCCAATCTGGGGGCTTATTCCAAAGTGGGGGCCAAATGCTGGTGCTGGGAAATCACGCAGCTTTCACTGGAGTCCAACAAATGATCTGTAGTCTCACAAGAAGCACATTTTAATCAGTCAGCAGAGCTTTCATAGCACACAAAATACACTATGAAGCGCAGAACAGACCAAACTGGCCTTAGATCAGGACTTTCTTAGGTGCTGAGTGATTGGTTTTACTCTCTGTGTAGAGTTCTTTGACTGCAAGGGAGATCTGAGCTTGTTTGGAACACAGAATTTCCTTTAGGTCTTTATATTTTACTTTTTTGAGCAAGCTGAATAAACACAGCTTACATGGTACTGACAGCGAGTTCACTGCGTGGACCCCAAGCTTTAGGCCTGCTCTTTGTGTTCATCTATAGAGGCCACGAGCAGCACGCGAAGGGCTCCCACACGCCGTGCAGCCGGTCACCCCGCGCTCGGAGGGAGCGGAGCCCTTTCCTGGTTACTCATGGCTGCCTCTGCGGACCTGGCTCTCCGCTTCAGCACAGCCCTTCCTGCTCGGCGTGTTCCCCAGCACATCCCTCACCACTCCCAGTGCCCAGACAGTCCCAAACTCACACACTCTTATCTCAACCTCCTTCCCTCTTTGCAGTCAGCACAGGGCAGTGCACAAGGGGTCACCGGGAGGGCTGCTATTTTGTTCAAAACTGAGCAAAAACGTGAGAGAAGAGGACTCCAAAAGGGGTTTTGTTTAATTGTTTCTCTCTCTCTCTCTCTTTTTTTTTTTTTTTTACGAGGACAAAAGCACCTCGCGCTGTCCCATCTTATCTAAGAGGGCACTGAGCTAGACAGACTGTTCTGTCTGACCTAGTATGTCTGTTTCTCTTTTATGTTTAACCATTTCAAGCTGTAACCAATCTTTTAAGACCGGAAATCTTCATTCAAACATTTGAGAACAAAAAAGCTCACAAGTTCGGACAAAGCTGCATTGACAAAATCATATCAACACTTCACTGAAGCAGCAGTTGCTTACAAAAGCTGTATGTATGAACAGTGGAATAACCACCCACACTATAACCAGCTAGTGCAATCAGCTTTTCACTTTCATAGTCTTAAATCCACCTCCAACATTAAATTCAATTAGGAAGGTGGGTTGCCAAGACTGACGCAATAGAGGAGGATCTGTATTCTGCAATGTTGAGAGCAAAGTGACTCACAGCAGCGAGCTAGCCAGCTAAGGTAAACAAAATCATTCTTTATCTTCTCACTCTGGATCAAAAGGAACACCTGCAGGAAGAAGCAAAATAAAAGATTACATATGCATGTACTTTTAAACAAGCAGAAGGCAGACTTGCCTCATTTCAACATGCAATTAAGACAAGCCACATGAACAACTGCTTCAGGAGAAGGGGGAAGGTAGGAAATTGCAGGGCATGGGCGTAGCTCTGCATTGGGCAGGTGGAGGATTTGAAACTCGTCCAAGCTGTGCCAAGGGGGCAGCATGCGCCCAACAAGTGCGAGTGGGTGGCCATGAAATTACAAATGGCACAAAGGAAGACAAGGGGCTGCAAGAAAAGTTATTTGCAGTGTGTTTGTTTAGCAAGCAATGCAAGCTATTAAATTAGCATCTTTCTGAAATACCAGAAGTTTCATGCACACAATCCTTTCCTCCTCATACGTGCCAGAAATCATTTGGGGTCAGCAATAAACTCTAACTGATTTGGTTTTAGCAAGGTTCTGAGGCAAAACATTAGCACTGTCCTGCAACTACAAATCTGTTCTGGCTTTTTTTTTTTTTTTTTTGGTCTTCTTGTGCCTTTCTGCAGGTATATTTGTTCTTTTACTAGGATGCTATTGGTAAAAATAAAAATGACTTTGTAGGAGCGGGTGTGCATACTGGAAGAGTGAGTTCCACTGATTACTGACAGTTTTATTGGTTAGACATTTCTAACTCTCTATTTTTTTGGGAGGAAAAAAAAACCTTATTACTATGAGCAGCACTTTATCATAGGGTTTATTTCATTATGTCCATGGAGGTAATCTTTTCAAGAAATTATATAGAGTGCTATATGTAGAGATATTACACAAGTCTATGAGATGGGGAGGGCTATTCTTTACCTGAAAGTTCCATCACAGTCAAAAATAAGATAGCAGGACAGATTAATCAATTTACTTACATTAACCAATGATTTAAAAACTATGATCAGTTATATAACACAAGTTGGTACAGAACCACTGATAAGAACATAAGCAGGAAAAACATGGATTAACAACAGCTTACACTTTGTATTACTTTTGCTGTCTGGCTGCAGCTAAAGATTTCTTATGGGGTTATCATTTTCATTTTTTATGAACTCTCAGTATCAGCACAGTCTTATTAGCATAATGCCAAAAGACATTTACCTGCGTTTTCATTAAGGTAACTTAATCTAGCTAAAATAATTGCAATAATTTCAACTGCAAATGCATTTTGCCTGATACACTTAAACATTTTTCTTAAGGAGAGATGGAATTTCAGATCACAGAAATTGCGCAAGATGTTGAAAAAAAATAAATAAGCAGGGGAAAGACTTTGTTATCCCAGAAACTGGAAGGGTTAAAAAATTAAAAAAGAGGAAAAATAGAAAAAGATTCAAAAATTACATGCTTTGCTTAAAACCATATAAATTTCTTGGTGTGCTCTCTGATAGCTTTCTGGAAAAATATTGCTTCCTTCTTCATAATAGCTATATCTTAGTTCTGCATATCTTAGTTGTAATTAAGTTTCTGGTGTACATAGACACAAAAAATGCTTGGTGTAGAAGCTAATCTCCTCCAGCTGCATCTGGATGCCGCTGAATAAGATAATGAGCACTTCCTCTTTTCCTCCCATATCTCCCAGAGGAAGAATTTTTTGTTGTTGCTTTTTGTTTTTTTTTAAAACAAATTTCTAGGAACACCTAGCAGCTCTTAACTATTCAGCGTCTTTGCTTAAGATGTCCTAGTCTGTCTGAGCAATAAGACTGCCTAGGATCCCAGACAAAGCGTAGGAAATCTGATTAAGAGGGCATTCTTTGATCAATTGGAGATAGCTGCAAGCACTCTTGTGATGCACCACAAGCAGCACGACTTCCCGTGTACCTCACATTACCAGATTAGCAAGACAATCTTTTCTGAATAGTGTTCACCGACAGATCCAGTTCCTCTAGAAGGGGAAAATGAACTTCCACACAATCTGCTTATTTTCAGCCAACAGTAAGATTCAGAGGGAGGAAAGGAAAGAAAGAAGGGAATGTGGAAAACATTTTGTCTTTTTTTTTTTTT